AAAAAAAAAAAAAAGATGGATGGGGGTTAGCAAAAGAATGCAGCAAACTTTAGAAAATACACATCTTAGCAAATAATAAGGAGTGCTAATTAAAAAATTATTTTTATATTAGCAAATCTAAAATATTTAACCCTGTTGTAGTATTACTGCTAATATAAATCAACAGAACCCTTTGGAAATGATTAAGCAAATGTACCAAGAGCTGTACAATTTGGCATATTTTCATTAACTTTTACAAACCAATCTGAGAAAAATCCAGTTTATGAAAGTAATCAAATACACAAAGGTGCTTTTTGCAGCATTTAATTAAAAATTAAAGTAATATTATATGTGTGTTCAAAAATGCAAAAAGTCAAATTATAGTTCTTCATGACCCTCAATCACTTGCCCCCAAATAAGGTATGCCCAGGGCAGATAATTGGCTTTAGTTGTCCTGAGAGGTAAACAGACTTTTTTTTTTTTTTTTTGTAGTTTTGGCTGGGGCCAGGCTTGAACCTGCCACCCCTGGTATATGGGGCCAGTGCCCTACTCCTTGAGCCACAGGCACCGCCCAGCAGACTTTCTTTATATTAGTTAGTGCCTTGTTAATTTAGTTAATAGGAGTCATGCCTTTAGCATTTGATGAAGAACTGATAAACTTTACTTTCTAAAGCTATGGATGCAAAGATACCAGATCCTGGGCTTCTTGTTGGAGATAGCCTTTGAAAAATTTTTTTTTTTTTTTGCAGTTTTTGGCCAGGGCTGGGTTTGAACCCACCACCTACAGCATATGGGGCCAGTGCCTTACTCCTTGAGCCACAGGTGCCACCCAGCCTTTGAAAATGGACAACAACTTGCCATCTCTACATAGACTTACTCTATTTTTTTTTTTTTTTTTAGACAGAGTCTATGTTGCCCTCGGAGTGCCATGGCGTCGCAGCTCATAGCAATCTCAAACTCTTGGGCTTAAAGTGATTCTCTTGCCTCAGCCTCCCAAGTAGCTTGGACTACAGGCGCCCGCCACAACACCCAGCTATTTTTTATTGCAGTTGTCGTTGTTTAGCTGGCCCAGGCCCGGTTTGAACCTGCCAGCCTTGGTGTATGTGGCTGGCACCGTAACCACTGTGCTATGGGCCCCAAGCCTCTACACTCACTATAGTTGCAAGTTGGGACCTCTGATTCCCCTGATTTCTCGGCACTGTATTTTCATTAATGCCGATAAGATTGTTAGTTTTGTTTTTGAGGCGGAGTCTTGTTTTGTCACCCCTGGTAGAGCGCTGTGGCATCATAGCTCATAGTAACCTCAAATTCTTGTGCTGAAGTGATTTTCTTGCCTCAGCCTCCCAAGTAGCTGGGACTATAGGTGCCCATTACAACCCTGGCTATTTTTAGAGACAGGATCCTGCTTTGGCTCAGGCTGGGCTGGAACTCCTGAGCTCAAGCAATTCACCCACTTCAGCTTCCCAGAGTACTAGGATTACAGGTGTAAAGCCCTGTTTTTTTTTTTTTGTTGTTGTTTGTTTATTTTGTTTGGTTTTTTTAAAACCTTGGGATAACTCTGTACCTCAGGCTTCACATAGATGAGCACATATGTAGTCCCAACTACATGGGAGGCTGAGGCAAGAGAATCACTTAAGCCTAAGAGTTTGAGGTTGCTGTGTGCTTTGACACCACAGCACTCTACTAACGACAACATAGTGAGACTCTGTCTCAAAAAAAATAAAAAATAAAGAAAAATTAGCTGGGTGTTGTGGCGGGTACCTGTCATCCCAGCTACTTGGGGAGACTGAGGCAGGAGGATCACTTGAACCCAGGAGTTTGAGGTTGCTGTGAGCTAGGCAGTTGCCAAGGCACTCTAGCCTGGGGCAACAGAGTGAGATTTTTGTCTCAAAAAAAAAAAAAAAGACTTTTTGTAGAGATAGGGGTCTCACTATGTTGCCCAGGCTGGCCTTAAACTCCTGGCCTCAAGTGATCCTCCCACTTTGGTGTCTTAGAGTGTTAGGAATATAGGTGTGGGCCACCACACCTCTGGACCCATTTTTTTTTGGCAGGGGGAGACGGAATCTCAACCTGTTGCCCTGGGTAGAGTGCTATGGCATCACGGCTCACAGCAACCTCAAACTCCTGGGCTGAAGTGATTCTCTTGCCACAGCCTCCTAAGTAGCTGGGACTACAGGCACCCACTACAACACCTGGCTATTTTTTTGGTTGCAGCTGTCACTGTTGTTTGGCAGTCCTGGACTGGATTTGAACCCACCAGCTCTGGTGTGTGTGGCTGGTGCCCTAGTTGCTGAGCTATAGGTGCTGAGCCATCTGGACCCATTTTTATTTATTTATTTTTCATTTTTGAGACAGAGCCTCAAGCTATCCCCCTGGGTAGAGTGCCGTGGCATCATAGCTCACAGCAACCTCCAACTCCTGGGCTCAAGCGAGTCTCCTGCCTCAGCCTCCCAAGTGGCTGGGACCACAGGTGCCTGCCACAACGCCCAGCTATTTTTTGGTTGCAGCCAGCATTGTTGTTTGGCAGGCCCGGGCTGGATTGGAACCTGCCACCTTAGGTGTATGTGGCTGGCACCTTAGCCACTTGAGCCACAGGCGCCAAGCCTGGACCCATTTTTAAAGGGGACATCTTCTTTGGATCTTTCATAAAGTCTTTGAGGGTTTTTGTTTGATGTATCTTTAAAGCCTTCTAATATGATTTCCTACTTCTTTCATGTTAGTGTTTCTGATTAAGCTCATAGGTTCTTCCTTTAATGCATATATTTTCTTTTTTTTTTTTTTTT